CTGCAAGTTCATGCCTGTGTGCTGGTGCCTGGGCCTCTGAGGTCTCTTCCTGTTCTTCTTCCTGTTCTGGGATAGTGTCCAGTTGGTGAACCTTCGGTTTTGGTCTTCTGGCCTTGGGGTTCACTGGTTCGATAAGTTCGAATACGCTTCGTCCTGTCCAGGATAAACCTCCTAGTGGTTCTGGGTCTCTGTGAGGCTCATCCAAAGTCCAGAACTTGTCATCCTCAAAGAAATCCTTGTTGATTGGTTCTTCTCCATACGTGTACCTGTCTGGTTTGAGGTTTCCGATGTCTACTGGAATGTCATTGGTATCTCGAGGATTGAACAAAGTCTTCCTCAACGAGTTGTGGTACCTCGTGAGTGTAGTACCATCCATGCTGATTGACCATGCATCCTCAGTGTACTCTTCAAACATCTTTCGATCCTCATCTTCCTTGGGGGTGCCTATGAGGTTCAGCGGAAATTCCTTGAGTGATACTAGTGTAAGTGTGCGGTACTCTTTGCTGCCATCGAAGATTGTTCCAAACGGTTCCTCAAGTTCCTCAAACATGATGCTGTGATGCAACAAATACCACTGATCATCATCCTCAATAAGCACTGCTCGATATGCGAACTTTCCTGGTGGAAACATCAAGTAAGTATCAACGTGTTCTGAGGTTCCTAAGCTAAAGTGGACTTGGTAAGGGTCTCGCCAGTTGGTCAAACCAACACGCTGTTCTTCAATGAGTTCCTTTAAGTTCTCGCACAAGTACATAGGGATAGGTTTTGCTTCTGCTTCCCAGTTGACTGCTCTCACAAAGGCTTTTGTTGTAAGTGAGTTGTTGTTGTAGTTCACTGCGATCTTGGTTGTTCCTTCTGTTAGGAAAGTGCCTGTTGCTGTTCCATCTCTGAACTCCCAGCCTTTCTTCAACAGTTTACCTACTGCCAAAAGAGGGTGCACAACCGATGAAATCAAGAACACCTCTTCAACCTTCACAATGTTTCCTTGAACATCTCGAAACTCAACCTCAATGATCCTTTGGTCTGAAACCTTGATCCGAGATCCTTGTGCATCTCGCAAAACTACCTTGGTAGTGTTGGGTGCCTTTCTTCCATACTTCTTCATCCACATTGGTGCCAACGAAATGTCGGCTCCTGAATCCAGCACAACCTCGATCTCTCGAGTTCTCGCGTTCCTCGCTGCACGCGCAAACCTGGTAATGGTCCTTGAGGGTGCTGTTCTCTCTACTCTGTTCCTTCTAGGAGGATGGTGACATCCGTTCTCACATTCCTGCATGTCTGGGTGCCACGGTGTTTCATGACATCCATTGGGACACTCAAAGTAGTATCCACGGTCCTGAGTTCCTATCAGGGTTCCTTCTAGGTGCCATTGCAACCATGCATCATCACTCACCTCATCACAGTCCTGAAACTCATCATCTTCATCACCAATCCAAAACTCTTCTGTCTCACTTCTCTCTTACTGAACTTCTTCACCAACAACCCGCAAAACTCTTCCGAAGTACTCAATCTCTATCTCATCAGAGTTCTCACTCATCTCGAATTCCTCCGGAAAGCTTGTGGGCTCGTCTCCCATGTGGTACATGGAGACCATCCTAAGCACTGGTCTTTGGGTTCCTTGGCTTGCTTGGCTTTGGCTTGTTGAGGTCTTGTTGGCTGACGAAGGGGCCTGAGTAGAAGTACCTGTAGTGCTCGCTTGCTCGCTCTGGTTTTCAAGGTCAACGTTCCTGGCCTGGTAACCCATGTCACGCATTTTCTGTCTACACTGTGCTTCGAAATGTCCATACTTGTGACAGTAGTGACAAACTCCTGTAGCTGCTTGGGCTTTTCCTTTACCTTTTCCTTTGTGTCTGAAGAAACCTCTTCCTCGACCTTTGCCTTTTCCTTTGTAACCTCTGAAACCTCTACCTCGGCCTTTCCAGTTACCTCGACCTCTGCCTTTGCCAAAACCTCCGAAACCTTTACCTTTACCTTTGCCTTTGCTGTCAAAGCCGTAACCTTTTCCGAAGTCCTTTCCACCTTTCTTGCCTTTTCCTTTACCTTTGCCTTTATGGTGAACATAACCTTTGCCATAGCCTTTCTTTCCTTTGTACCATGCTTGGTTGATATCCATTGCTGCAAGACCACCATGGTCATCACCTTTGTCAATCAAGTCTGTTGTGGTTCGGTGAGGTGTTCCTTGCTGGGCTGCTAAAGAGTTAGTCCAACGCTCAGTTGACTCATAGTTCACAAGGTACTGACGAAGAGTATTGTACTGTGTCTTCTCATCCATGTTGAGCAACAAGTGCCTTTTCACGTCAGGTTTCATACCTTGAATAAGAGTAGATACTTTCAAATTCTCCTGTACCTTTTCTCCAGTGGCCTTCTCGTACTTCTCGATGTGTTCCTCATATTCGAGGATATTCTCAGCAATTCCTTTGTTGTGAGCAAATTTGTAGTTGAGAATGTTGTGAAACAACTCCAACGATCTCGCACGATTCGTTGGCTGATATTCCTTGAGTAGCATACGGTAAGCTTCCATACCGTTCTCCTCAGCTACATGCTTTACAACTCGGTACGGCCTTCCTTTAGTGTACGAACAGAGAACACTGTACAGGCGTCTGCTGGTTTCCTTTGCTTCTGTAGACATCTCAGCCATCTTCACTTGCTTATCATCCTTTAGGTTCCTTTCTGCGATGTCCATGATCTTCACCATGTTGGAATCCACTGCTCCAAGCCAGATCCGCATCCTGTTCCTGAACTCTGTCCATCCACTCTTCTCTTCTTGCCATGTTCCTGGGGAAAATGCTTCGGGGCTTTTAATCAGCTTGTGCAACTCCACTTCTCCAGGCTTTCTTTGTTCCTTTACTGCTTTCTCCAGAGATGCTCCTATCTCCTCAAGTGTCGTTGCTGCATTCGTGTGAGCGTCTGCCAACGCTGTTTGTGCTGTCTTCTGCTGTTCCTGAACTGCTGTCAGGGTTTCCTGGAATGCTTGTGTGAGTCCTGCTTCTCTTTGACTTCCTGAAGCTGCTGAATTCCTGATCTCCTCTGCTAGTGTTTGTATTCCTTGCAGAGTCTGTGCATTGATCTCGGCAAGTGCCTTCAATGCATCCTCCATTCCTTTTGCTGCTTCAAGGTTGCTGTACACTAGTGCTGCTAAAAGTAGTGACTTGCACTGTTTCCTGCTCACTGCTTGTGCTCTCCTTTCTCCTCTTGTCTTCCTTTGGTGCTTTGAGCAGTTGCTTGCTCTTGCGAAAAACAAACTAGAATAGTACGACAGGGTGATCCAAGTAATCAGTCCCATTGGGGTTCCTAAGAACACTGCTATGCGAATTCCTTGAAATACAACTCTGTTGGAAATGACTTCCTGAACTATCACATGCACGACGTCGTGAAACTTCTTTCCTACGATTGCTAGCTTTTCTACGAAACTGTGAACATGTTCCTGTACAACTTTCCTCAGTACTTCTCGCTGTTGTTTTACTAGGTACCTAGGGGCGTAGCCTGACTCAAGGCTCTCACTCTCCTGGTTCTCGGTGTTCTGGTCGCCGTTCATGTTCTCTTCCGTGTAGTACTCGCCGGTCACGCTAACGACGCTGTATAGCTCGTTCATCACTTGGTTCGCGCACAACAAAGCGTACGGTACCATGACTTTTCCTATCTCCACATAGTCCTTAATCGTGTACGCGTTCGTGTTCCTGATCGTGTTCACGTTGGTGCCGGCGGGGTTCACGCTGCACTCGTTGTAGCCTTGCTGGTAGTACTCGCCGTACACGTCATAGTTCCTGTAGCGGTTCCGGTGCGTATTGGGCTTCCTTCTGCTCGACCACACTGCCATGAGCTCGCTCTCGTCGCTCTCCACGTAAGTGAGTTCCTTTCTCACACGGCTCGCATCCTTGGAGGATAAGACGTCTCCAAGGGCAAGTTCTTCCTTGGTCTCCGCGTTGTTGCCAAGGGCCTGCCACGGTCTCACCGCCATACTTCTTGCTCCTGGGACCAAGATCATCCCGCACAAAGTTGCGAGGCTTCCCAGTGCGAAACCAACCAGCAGCACCATACATGCTGCCAAACCGTAGCACTTCATGTTCCTTTTCTCTCTCTCTTCCACCAACACTCGGTCGGGGTAGCATTCGGCGCAAGCGTCAAAGTCTCGCGCGTTTCCTGCTGTCACGTTGTGGTTGCGAAGGTGTCCACAACCTCTGCGGTGGTACTTTGTTCCTGAACGGACTGCGATCCTGAGCGTGGGCATGTTGAGCACTGTCTCCGTCTTCTTGGTGATCTGCTCATTTGCGCGCATCTGCTTCCATCCGGCAACGAGGCAAACTGCCATGTCGCCGAGCATCATGGTTCCTATGGCTACGAGTAGCATCATCGCTGCCAAGGAGGTTCCTGGAGGCAGCTCCGATACCATGTTAAAGAACGGGCTTCACTAAGGGTTCCTACCCACAAAGACTGTCGGACACTTTTGTTCCTGGGCACGGTGTGTCCTGGGGTCTCGAGCCTGCACGTCGCGTGTGCGTGACGGCTGTTCCTGTACATTAACTGTACTGCACTAGCTGTGTTACTGTTCCTGGCAGAATGTTTAACGAGAGAGGAGAGAGAGAGAAGAGAGAGAGAGAGAGATAGAGAGATAAAGAGAGAGAGAGAAAAAGAGAAGAGAAGAGAGGAGAGAGAGAGAAAGAGAGAGGGGAGATAGAGAGGAGAAAGAGGTAGAGCTAGAAGAGAGAGAGAGTGTGGAGGGATAGTGAGTAGGGGGAAGACAGAAGAAACGCAAACAGGCCAGAATCAGAACCATGGCCCGTGGCCCCACAGTTCACAGGCTCACAGGCTTCTGCCGAGGAACCACCGTCGAGGAAGAGGCATCCACAGTGCCAGGCCCGCCGGCCTTCTGCTTCTGGAACTCCAGGTAGAGAGTACCTGAATTTTCAACTGACAGTGCACATGTTTTGATTGACTCATGGGTCTGAACAAAGCACCACAAACACATGACTGAAACACTCATGGCAAAGCCAAGACACGACACTCGTGAATCCCCGGGTTCTCGTCGGAGACCCCGTGCAATGGAACATTGCTTGCCATGCACGCAAGCACTTTGTTCAGCCCGGACCGCGTCTCTAACATTGCAGTCACTCGGACCATTGCGGCACTGCTTTTCGCGCAGCCACCAAAAGTTGAGTGCATGGTCTTCACCCAAGCACTTTTGGACAGCATGGCTGGGCATATCTGGGACTTTAGAATGTTTTCTGAAATCTCGGCCCCATCCTCTCGCATCTTCACGGCCATGTTCAAGACACGGATGGCGTCGTCGGCCTTCAGCTTCTGCTGGCCTGCACAGGCACCCAAATGCATGGAAGGGAAATAATGATGACTTCAGCGACACCAATCACCAGACACTGGCCTGGCCCAAGAAAGAAAACATTGTCAAACACCCAGACGTCAGGCACAGTCCGCAAGGTACGCAGGTGCTCCAAGACCTGAGCCGAGCAACCCACACCGGACCAATATTGAATCTGAGCCGAGCTACCCACACCGGAAAACTACAGCAATACATGGGCATCAGCAGCTCCAGAACATCGTCCATGTGAGTTTAGTATGACTCTTGCTCGGCACGAATCACGAAGGCTATGGCGACTTTGTGATGATGGCCTTGATCTGTTTAACGTATCCACTCGAACAGACAGTTAACAAGCACTTGTTCACTTCATGCACATGTGTCTGCTCTGCTCGGAAAGACACGACAGTGATTCTTTCCGACAAGAAAACTCCGAACTTGTTTAAACGTTCAGAAGGCAATATACAAGGAAAGGCACCTTAGTCGGCAAACTTGCGTATGACCGCATCCACCTGTTCACAACGGTCTTCTTGGAGTTGCCATAGAGCTTCAGAAGTGATTTCCGAATCAGCTCCGGGTCGGCGCCAGTCACCCTTCTGCTAAACCTAGCCACCACGTCGAGCTTCTGCCAAACACTGCTCATTCTGAACTTGTTCTGTGACTCATCATGCCGCAGTGTCTGCCAACCAACATGGGAATCGCGGTCATACACTGGAAAAGTGACTAAATCGACGAGGAGACCTGACAAGTTCAAAAGTGTTGACAGTCAGTCTGTGCCAGTCAATGGTGGTTGCATTGATATCGATATCCTGCCTTGTTCGTAAATCTTGGACAAGCTGTCTGGCATAGACACGTTCGGGTCAGCCACAGTCTCGTCACAATCGTAGAAATTCTGCAACTCAGTCCTGGGGCATGTCACGTCTGAATCGAAATGTCAACACATCCGAAAGTAAAGCTTTAGCAACGAACTGTACAGGCTGAGGAACAACGCAGACACCGTTTGGTACCCGTCGGCCAAAAGACACAATCCGTTGGCATCCACCAGATCTTTTCCTGAGATGCAGTGTTGCACAGCTGAACGGTCACTGTTTTGGCATGCAGCTGGAAACACAGGCCAAGATGCCAGCCCCATCCACAAGCACTTGTGGCCGCGACAGCAATGACATGTCGTACTGGCCCGACCGAAACACCTCCATCAGCTCAACCACACGATCGTCGTCACGTCCTCTGAAGGACGAGACATCGGGGTCAAGAGATATGTCCTGCCACAAAGTCACAACGTGCAGACATTGACACGCACGCAAACAAAACCACCTCATGGAGACACACAAATCTCCTTCAGCTTGCGGAGAACACCGCATTGGACCGTTGTCTGGCCCTGAACAGGACAGGTTTTGGTAGTGGTGAAACTTCGAAGTCAAATTCCGCCCGGCCTCGTGAGTTTTCTCAACATCCACGACTTTTTTGCCCATGGCGCCGGACGTCGGCACTCTAATCAAAATCACCGACGAAGAGCCAGACACTTCAGCAACACAAGCGACATCAAATAAATAGCTCCAGACTAACAGGAAACTGATCTGCACGAGCTGCTTGCACGAGTGAGCAGTGGGCCTCTGAAGAATCGCACGGCCGAATGAATGCAAAGCCAGACCTGAGAGATCGGCCAGGCTCGGGGGTGAGTGGGTTCCTGCAAATGAAACTCCTGACAAGTGGCAGCTTGGCAATAGAAGTCGTCGTTGTGACTCCTTCCAGTTCTTGACCTGCCCCAAGCCCAGGCCCAGTGCACTGGAAGGGTATCCCTGCGAAGATAAGCAGATCGGCTTGAACCGATAGTCCGACCTGGGCTGACGAAATAGAGCAGCCGAGTCAACTGGGGGTGGGTGGGTCCCTGCCAGATAAGCAAATCGACTTGATTGGCTGATGTACAGAGCAGCTGAGTCAACGGCCGCACCTGGGGGTGGGTCCCTGCCAAGATAAGCAGATCGGCTTGATTCGATTGTAGTCTGAGCTGGCTGATGTACAGAGCAGCTGAGTCAACGGCCGGACCTGGGAGTGGGTCCCTGCCAAGATAAGCAGATCGGCTTGATTCGATTATAATCTGAGTCTGAGCTTGGCCAATGAACAGAGCAGCTGAGTCAACGTGGCAGATGCGCAGAACATTGAAAGCTACGATAAGGCATGATGCAAACAACGAACCCCACAGATAACCGGATCGAGTCGAAGTAGCTATATTCGGGGTCACGACAGCGACTCACTAGATCATTTGTCTATCGGCAAGATACATAATGCCTATGAATACAGCGACTCCTCATAAACAAACAAGCCTTCTCAACAACTGGACTCTGCAGATACCGACTTCGACTTGATCCAGGTATGTTGGGGGTTGGTCTGCTGCAGCACTTTGAAACTTGGCTTGATTGTCGCCTCTGGTCCTAGTCGGTGACGGGGCCCGGGTCGGTGAAACAGCAGTGGCTTCGTTGCGCTTCCATCGAAACTAGGCCATCGGTGCGTCGCACTTCCCGGCAGAAACACAGCTCAGGATACTCGCCAAAAATACTCCGACCTGAAAGATGTGCATTCCATTGCCTACATCACTGGGTGTCAGCCACTGCAAAGACACCTCGTCGACGGGAACTCCACTGGCACGTGCTATTGCAGGCAAGAGCGGGAAGCCACTGGCCACCAACAGTTCGTTGGGAATCAGCCACCGTTGAAGCATCGGAGACCACAGCAAGGCACTTCCATGACGGATGGTCGGGATCTGCCGTTTGGCACCCGAAGTCACCGGCCGGCGGTCTGGGTCCTGGCAGCAGTAGGCCAGCTCACACCTGCAAATTTGAAAGCACTCTACAACAACCAACCATGGTCCTGGCTGAGATCGAACAGGCAGTCTTCATCGGTGCTCGGGTCGGTGCCGAGCTTTTCCTTCCAGAGCGACCTGTACCTGCTCTCAAAGTTTGCCTGGTTTCGTGTCAGGAGATATGCCCAAGACACACCAGACACGGTCACCGGCGGTGACATCTTCCTCCTAGACCTGGCTCGATTTTCTTCAATCACCAGCCACTGCTTTGGTGAGGCACGGCAATTATCCGCAATTGTCGGAGCACCGTGCAAAGCCATGTGCGCACGAAGCTGCTCACAGACAAACTGATAATTGTCAGCCACGTCCGTTCCAGGCAGAAGGCAGTCACGACGGACTAGCGCAAAATAAAGACGCGGACGCCTCACCACGGACCAGCCACAATCTTCTGGGCTGCTACGCACCTCCCATATGTGATACAAGCTTGCCAGATGCTCGTGTAATACACACAGGCCTGGAAAACCTTCAGTATTTTCGTGTGCTGCCCACAAAGGTTTTCTTCGGGCAATCAATGCACACCAAATGAGAAAAGGCAGTGAGCGCTCGTCTCTCCAGCCCAAGGCACGAGGATTAAAGCGAGACCAGGGTTGACAAGGACTGCCAGACACGTCTCCTTCGAAGAAAGGACTTCCGCATATGTCGTGCCCGCTGTGCCAGCATCGGAGATGACCAAACCTCAAAAGACCCACAATCTTCTGATACCTTTCCTGCCAAGACAATCTGGAAAGCACCTTCCACGTAGGCAAGCCTGGACAGTAGTCACGCATGTCTCGAAACACGCAGCCATGACCTCTGGCAATCAACACATTGGCACAGTGCCGACTGGAGTCACAAGCAGCCACGAACCGTAGAGGCATGGCACCCTGAACACCTTAGCCGAACGACTGCGAACTGAGCATAGGTAATCGAAGGCAACATTGTAACATTGCATGCTGTAATGCTGCAAGGCACCGGCTGCAACTGCATTGTGCAGCAGGTTTGCTGCCACTTCGACGCAGCCCACACCGGAAAAGTGGGTTGTTGCAGCACAGCCACGGGCCAGCAAGGATTGACTCACAAGATCATACCCTCTCAGCTCTTGAATATGAGACACTGCCATGTACATCACACGAAATGCCGTGACCAATGCCACAGGGGTTGCAACGTCAACGGCAGTGTCTTGATTCCCTGCTTCTGCCAGGAGAAGGCACTCAGCATCACTTCCGCTGTCGGCCAAGTCCATGCCAGGTTTTATGCTGCAGTCACTGACTAAAGCATCTTGAGATAATAAATAGTCACTGCGACCGATACAAAACATGAACATTGCCATCCATAACACTGCCGGCATAAAAATGACAAAATAAGTACAAGGGCTGACAGTTTTTTCTGACGCAGCAGCAGCTTGTCGGGTGGCTGGACTGAGAAATTAAAAAGAGCAAGCGCCTGTCAGTCACAAATGACTATATAACTGAATGCACTGCTCATAGCCAGCGAACAATTCCAAAATCACAATGGGTCCAATGACTCAGCACCTGTCAGTGACAAATGACTAGCTGAATACACTGCTGATGAAAGTGATTAGCCAGCAAACCGTTCAAAACCGAGCACCTTTCGATGAGCCCAATGACTCTGTCACTGTCAGTCTAAGCACAAGCACAAAGGGCCCAATGACTCAGAGACTCGAGTAAATAGAATTACTGAGACACGACTTGGGTTTCGGAAGGTTTGTCATCCGCTTCCAGCTTATCGTCTTTGGAGCCACTCTCACGTGAGGCACTGTTCTTCGACACTGGAGCAGTCACTGGGGGGGCAAGCGCTGGGGAAGCCACTGAATCTGCCGCCGCAATCCTAGCCCGCTTGCGTTCCAAATCCCTTTCGATCTCCTCCTTTTCGTTCATGATTTGTTCCCTTTCGCAATCCAGCATGTCCAGTCGGTGGTTCAAGCTCTGCACGGTCTCCTCCATGTTCAAGACACGCTTCTTGGTCAGCCACTGAGCAAAATCTTCTTTCTCAGACACGTGGATCTCCACCTTGACCACAATCTCGTTGGGCTGTAGAACATCAGGCACAGGTGAGCTCTGATGCCAAAAGTCCTTGGTTTCAGTCACGTAGCAGCCCTAAGTACAACAGAAAACTGAACAATTAAAAGCTCATGTCAAGGAGCCGCAATCGGGCTTGTGAAAGTGTCGACATGCACCATGCCACTAGGCAAGGTTGGTGCATTGAAGTGGTGGACTCGCAGCCTGCAGAGAAAGCATTTGCCATTACGGATCCTTTAACACTTCTGAGGTGAAACTTCAGGAGAAGCCAGGTGGCTCGGTCGACTTGCCATCTGCAAGCACGAAACCCACGAGAGCTGCCGCACGTTGGGTGGAATAGTACATGTCCTGGGAAATTCAGAGTGGATGCAGATCCAGTCTCTGTCGATCAGATCAGTCAGCAAGGTGTCCTTCGGTTGATAGCCTGTCTTTGTAAGCACCGAGTTCTTCAGGATCATGTGACATGCCATGTTCTGATCCGTGGGATCCACATGCTGATAGAAGTTCCAGGCACCTCAGAACAATACCCACATGCACACCAAAAAAACACACGGACAAGTGCTGAACGATTTAGTGAGCGAGCAAGGAACGTTCCACAGCCACTTCGGCCACTCCCACAGAAGTGGTGAAGAGCTCGATATTGAAGTAGGCCACCTTGCTCAGGTCATCCAGCGGCTTCAACGTCCGGAAGAAGCTGCCTGGTGAGCCCCCGCAGTCTTTGCCGAGACTGAGCTCCTTGTTTTGAACTGCCTGTTGCGGATCAGAACAGTGTACGACGACACACCCAAAGGCACGGGCACT